ATAAACAAGACAATGAAGATTGAATTGGCTAATGCTCTACAACTATTTCCACGCCTAAAAGCTAATCATCATCCTCTCATTCTCAGTTTGCTAAAAAGCTCCATATTTCCTTACTCAATTACTTTTAGCAATCTAGTTTCAATAAGCTTAAGTTGTGTAATATCACAGTTGTGATAAACAGTTTTGTAGAAAACATTCACACACATAGATTTCTCTTCCTTGTAAGAAAGTGATTCCTTGACAAACCGGGTTGTGGTTTGCATCAAGAAGGCTTTAGCAGTTGTTAAAGCAGGTTGTAATATTCAGTTGAATATAGTGGATTAAGACCTCGTTGGAGAGAGGCGAAATCACCTTGACGGGTGGACTGGAGTAGTTTGAGATTAAACGAACCAGGATAAAAATATTGTGATCATTGCAATTGTTTTTCAGTTTTACAATTCAACCCTCCTTCTTGTGTTTTTCACTTCTTCACTCTCTACTCAAGTCAACCTGCAAGCTTGATATTTGAAAATAGTGGATGGTGGATGAGGAGTTACAGTGAGGGAACAAGGGTCTGGATCACTTAGATATCATGTATATTAAGTGTTTGGGTGGTTAAAACTCAATACGCACGAGTGGATTTGGAGATGACTATGTAAGGTTCATAACTGTCAAGGTATGGCAGATTTTCAGTTGCAAAGTTTTTGGGAGTGTTTTGGAGTCTTAACATGTGTGTGTTATGTTGCAATACACTTGTGTATATGTATGGAAAAGGTTAGAGATCAACTCCACTCCAGGTTTCGGAGTTATAGCCTTTTGGCTCTATAACTTGCTTTTGAAGAAAAGTGAGGAGACAAGTCTCTAAGTGTTGTACAAGAATGATCTGAGTTGGTAGAGCTCTTAGACAAGTTTCTTTTGGTTTTGACTTTGCTTGTGTGCAGAGAAAACAATTGAGAGGCTCAAGAAGTTGACAAAGGAAAAAGTAATGCTTTATCAAAATGGAAATGGCAACTTTGTGCCATAAATGGAATTGTAACTTGGATAAAGGCTCAATTATTTGGATTAAAGCTCTAGCAGCTGTGTAAACATTTAATTATGGATTAAGAAATAATTTTGAGGCCTGCAAAGAAAAGATTATGCAGCCTAGGCTTGGATTTGAATTTTTGTTCATCATGAAATGGCTTGAAATCAAAGTGATAAATCACCAACTTCATTTATTCGATTCTCCCTACTCAAGAATGATCTCAAGGAGTTCTTGGACATTTTGGAAAGCTTTAAATGTGCTCTACAACTCATCTTTGAATTGCTTTTGAAAATTCCATTTGGAACTATGTGAAAAATTTGCATGAAGTTAGGTCAAAAATCTGCCTAACTAGAGCAAAATTTCACTAAGTTATTTTAGTTCACGAGCATGTATTCACAAAATCATATTTTGAGATCCAAGAATTTTTAGGAGAAATTGTGTAAAGAAAAGTTGTATATTTCATTGGGATCTATAACTTTCATGTTGGAAGTTTCCTTTGAATCATCTTGTATCATGGTGAAAATTTGGCTCAAAGTTGAGAAAAAATAAGAAGTTTTCCATACTTAGAAAAATTTCTAAGTTAAGAAATTTCAACTTTTCAAAACAAAAACTTAAATCCTTGATTTCTTGATGAACAAGTTTCACATTTTGATATGTTTTGATGAATTATGATCTTTGGCACTTGATTTTGACCAAAAAGTCAAAGTTTGACTTTTCAGTATACAATTGACTTTTAATCAGTTGACTGAAAAATTCATCTGTCAATCCAATGGATTTGTAATGTTTTGAATCATGTTATTAGGTATAGATGATGCAATTGAACTCTTGAAATCATACTTCAAACCAATTGATCATTTTCTAGGTCAAAAATCAGAAATTGCCTTTTCTCAGTCAAAATCCTAATTTTGACCATTTTCCCCTTTTGATGATTTGATCAAATTTCTTGAGGAATTATGGTCCAAACTTGATCAAATGATACATGTGAGTCTAAAATGTTGATGTGGATCAAAAATCATGAAGTTTGACTGTAAATTGGTCATGGTTGACTTTTTCTCCAATATAGCTGATTTTTAGGTCAACTGTCCATTTGACTGATCAAAAGTGTGATTCAAGGCTTGAAACTTGACATGAGTAATCTTAGGGGTCCATGATGATCCTTGAAAGTCATATGAAACATTTCTAGTCCAAAAATCCTTGTGCAAACTCAAACCCTAATTTTGGTCATCAGTGCATGAGGAGATGTCTTGAGCTGGTCAAACCTTAATGCAGTCTTGAATCAGAGATACCTTGTGAGGAAATTCTTGATAAGTGAGAGGGCAAATTTTGGGGGTACAACACATGTTTTTGAAGGGTGCGTACGGTGGTCAGTTAATGGCAGTAGTGGGAATGGATGGAACTATATATGCATAAGAGACTCATAATTTTGATCAAACCATATTGAATTTTGAATTTAACCATATTTTAATAACATCTCAGAATTTTGATAACATCTCAATATATCAGAAAATTGAACCATAGTTTGATAACAAACTCATAATTTTGAGCAAACCATATTGAACCATATGGAATTTTGAATTTAACCATATTCTAATAACATCTCTGAATTTTGATAACATCTCTGAATTTTGATAACATCTCAGTATATTAGAAAATTGAACCATAGTTTAATAACATCTCAGAAAATTGAACCATATATTGATAGCAGAGAAACTTGATAATAGACTCATAATTTTGAGCAAACTAACTCCATTAACTTTCATTGTCAATATAAATTTGACTTAGCATTACACCAACATTACACTAACATTACACTAACATTACATTATCCAACCGTAATATTTATCAGTAACACTAATATCAGAACCCAAGACAAAACCAAAAATGTAACTAAAAAATTGACTTTCTTTTTCAACTTGTCATTTGCCTTCTTCACCAATAATTCCTTCTTCTTCAAATCATTAACTTTCTTCAATAATGAATTGATGACCTCATTTGAACGTTCTACCAATTTCTCATCATACCCCTCAATAAATGCACATCTTTTCCTTCCTTGTAACTGTATAACACACAACCATAGCTCGGTGATTGAGAATATTAGAATATTTATACAAGCATAAAAATTAGGGATTTTGAATTACCTTGTATAATCCATAATCATAGAACTTTCGACCTAGATTATGAGATGTTTAGGCTGTAACAAGTGGTGAGTCCAACCCATAATAACACTGAATCTTTCTTCTCCTAGAATGAGAGAGGTTGCTCGAAACACTAAATGATTCAGATGTCATAGGAAGCAAGAAGAAGCAGTGAAATGCCGAAGCAAGAAGTTGCAGTGGAACGCTGAAAGGAATTGCAAATGAGCATGAAAATCTTGAATTGGAAACACGAAGCTGAAGTCGTGTGGAATCCTAGACGAGAATTAGAAATGCGATAAAGAAGATGAAATCGTCCTTTAAATAATCTAATTAATTTTAATTTTAATGTTTAAAATGACTAGGAAAAGATAAATTAATTTAAAATGCCATGTCTAAAAAAAAAGTGACACAAACATTTTCTAAAATCAAAATGGAAATGAAAAACTAAAATTGTTTAAAAACAAAATAAAAGAACTAAAATCATGAAAAGACAAAAAATATAATTTAGTCTTTTATATTTTACTTATACTTACTTAACATAATTATTGTCATTTCGTTATTTGTACTCTTAATCTATTTTATTTTATTAATATTTTTTATTAATTGATTGATATTTATATATTTATTTATTCATAAGTAATTTATATTATTTAATCTTTTTAACGTGATTATATTCTATTAGATAATTTTTTAAATAATTACTTTAGTGGCGATTTTTTAAGCTAAAAAGATTTTTCGTAAAAGAAAATGGTATTATTCGCTTCTTTTGACAGATAATAGTTTAAAAAAATTAAAACTTATAATTTTGAAAGCATTTTTGACTATCAAAAATATGTATTTTATAAAATGACGTTGGTGAAAAAAATTGACCATCAAAATGTTTTTCTAAAAAAAAACTTAAAATAGCCTTAATATCAATTTAAGACTTCGAATACAATTTAACAATGTTTAGAAATTGAGATTAGGTATTTTTTTTTTTAAATAAATAAGTATCATTTTAAAAACATTTTCCTTGGTCAAAATAATTGTTTAAGAATTTTAAATAATAAGATTATTTTGTAAAAAGTTTAAATATTTTAGCATACATTAAAAAATATTAATTTGTTCCAAAATGGATATCATATTTTTATTTATTCCAAAATAAATGTAATTTTTAATTTTCAATCAATTTTATTATAATTTTTTTCAATTAACCTTTAATTAAAACTCAAAATTTAATATCTCTCTCATTTTATATTAATAATAATTTGAATATAGTAATAAATTATTTTTTCTATTTTATTTATCATACTTTTTTAATCTGTTTAAAAAATTAAATATGACATTTAATTTTTTTATATTTTACCAATCAATTCAATGAATCAATAAATCTGATTTAGTAATTCAATATGATGATTTACTGATCAAATCTTATTTGTATTAAAAATTGAACTCCAGTAATTTTGCCGTTAGTATTTTTCTCATTTTATATTAGTAATGATTTAACGGTTAAATATGACATTTATTTTAATATAATAAAATTTATAATAATAAAAATACTTTCTAATATTTGTTTAAATAATAATTTTTATTATATTAAATTATAAAACTAATGCCGACTTTCATTGTAATTTTTTATAAGAAAAAAAAAATACTTTTTTTTAAGTATAACGCAGAAGAGTAAAGTTTTGTTCAATTAAAAAGTGCAATTAAAAGACTTTCCCACAATAAACAAAGACAAAAGATTTGTTTTACATTGCACCTTCGCGTTCCTTCCCTTTATTCATACAAAGTCGAACACCCTTCACGTTCCAAAATAAATATCCCAACATACTCTACAACACAACGCATACACATAACAAAATTCAACTTCCCCGCCGGCGATGCCGTCCACTTCATCACCTCCACCACATCCTCCGCCCCAAACAAAGAACAAAGAGACTTCCACCGTCGTCACTGGTTGCTCTTTCCTCTTCGCGCTTCTTCACTGCCTCCGCAACGAGAAACGAACAACTCCATCCTCCGACTCAGACTCCAACCCTCCTCATCCCTTCTCCTACTCCCTCCTCCGCCGCGCAACAAACTCGTTCTCCAATATTCTCGGTCATGGCGGATTTGGTCCTGTCTATTCCGGCACCCTCCCTTCCTCCGGTAAATCAATCGCCGTCAAGCTTATGGACTCTAGTACATCCTCCCTCGGCTGCCAAGGCGAACGTGAATATCACAACGAACTCTTCTTCGCCGCCAGGCTCCATTCCGACCTCCTCGTCCCCGCAATCGGTTTCTCATCCGACCGCAAACGCCGCAAATTCCTCCTCGTTTATGATCTCATGAAAAACGGTAATCTCCATGACGCGCTTTTCCGTAGTAAATGCCATGAATTAACGCACTGGAAAACGCGGTTTTCCATAATTCTCGACGTAGCGAAAGGAATTCAATATCTTCATTCTTGTGATCCCCCAGTCATTCATGGTGATATTAAACCTAGTAATATTCTTCTTGATCATTCCTTTTCAGCTAAAATCGCTGATTTCGGTCTCGCGAGGTTGAAAACCGTTTCCCCTTTCGAATTCAGAAAAGATGAACTCGAGAGTGATGAGACGGAAATTGAGAGTGTTAATACTAGCTTAGAGGAATATGAAACAGACATGGTTGGTGTTGGTGGTGGCAGTGTGAAGGATTATGTAATGAATTGGATTGGTAAAGAAGTGAAAGAGGAAAGGTCGAAAAACGGTGAATTGTTGGTGGGTGGAAGTGGAAAGGTAGAGAAAAGCAAGAGCAAGAAGAAAATGAAGTGGTGGGAATCAATGGAAGAGGGGAATGGGAAGGGTGGTTTGAAGAAGGAAAAAAGAAGACCAGCAAGAGAATGGTGGAAGGAGGAGTTTTCTAAAGAACTCGCCAACAAGAACAAGAGGAAAGAGAGCGGAAAAAATGGTGATAGTTGGTGGAAATGGGAGAGAGATCGCAACGACGTTGATGATGGCAATGTGAAGAAGAAAATGAGTAGTAAAAGCCGTAGCAGAAAGGATCGTGGTAGCGATGATTCATGGTTGAGTGGTGAGTTAAAGAGAGTCAATATGAATAGCTATGATTCATGTAATAGTGGAGAAATTTACAAGAGTGGTGAAATCAGCAGTACAACAAGTACTCGAGGAACTGTTTTCTACGTCGCACCTGAAAACGGTTATAGTGGTGGTGATATAACAGAGAAATGTGATGTTTATAGTTTTGGGGTGTTGTTGCTTGTTATTGTTTCTGGGAGGAGGCCTCTTGAGGTGAATGATGGTGTGCATGTTTCTGAGTTTAAGAGAGCCAATTTGGTGTCTTGGGCTAGACATTGTGGAAGGAATGGGAAACTACTTGAACTTATTGATCCTTGTGTTGAGTTGTTGTTAGGGGATGATAGAGACCAGGCTCTTTTATGCATCAGAGTTGCATTGGTTTGTTTGATGAAATCGCCTAATCGTCGTCCTTCGATGAAACAAATTGTGGGAATGCTTAGTGGGGAGTTGGAACCACCTCGATTATCACATGAGTGCTCGCAAACTCGATTCCAATTCAAGAATAAAAAAGAAAACTTATGATTATATGTAGTAGTTAGCTTGATAGCCGTCGATATATTTGAAGATTCGGGTACGAAGATTCTCTAAATTTATTGACGGCTATCCAACTAACTATAAATTTTTTTTGAGAAAGTTGTGTTCACATGAAAAAGAGGTTACTGTTTTTTTACATCATGTAGGCTCTATTTCTTTCTTTCACTTGTCCTTATTTGACATCATGTAGGCTCTATTTCTTTCTTTCACTTGTCCTTAGGATTGATTTTTGTGTACATAGAACCGTGTTGTTTCACACTGTATAGGGTCTTTTTTGTAGTTCACATAACTTTTGATAAGAAAAATTGGTTACCTTTTAAATATCTAGTTATTCTTTTGAATAGTCTATTATAGTTTGCTGCTTGTGCTAACTTTGACTGGGAATTTGGAATATTTAATTTTTATTAGGTATGAAAACGTTATGTAATCGTAAGAATCTTTTACAACCAAAAAATCGTTAGAATCTATTTGAATATTTTTTGTTATGGCAGAGGAAAATTCTGCCTTGCTCAGATGCGGATGCACGTTTGTTTGTTTTTCTTAATGTTATTTTAACAATTCAATCTCAATCCAATCTCAAATTTATAGATTTGGATCATCTCCTGTGCGTTGGATTTAGAACATGAGAGATGCTGCCATCTATGTTGCTGTAATCTGAACTATTTATTTGCATTTTTTTCCTCTCTTCAAATTTTATTTTTATTATGTTTTCGTTTTTCAACCAAACATGAGAGATGGCAGCACATGTGAGCATGAGAGGATCCATGCTCCAAATATATATATATATATATATATATATATATATATATATATATATATATATATATATATATATATATATATATATATATATATATATATATATATATATATATATATATATATAATATATATATTATATATATATATATATATATATATATATATATATATATATA